CCCCCCCCCCCCCCCCCCGGCCGGCACGCGCCTCTCAGGCAGGGCCAGGGGGGAACGGACGGAGCGGGACGGGACCGGCCCGGCCCTGGACAGCGAACGGCGTCCCGTCGGGCAGGCGCTCACCGGTATACGCGTCTCGATGCCGGGAGACCCCCCAGGAAGGGGGACACGACCGCGACCGGGGGCAGCCGCCGGGCCCCGGGGCGCGGCCCCGAGCCCGCGCCACACGCCCAGACAGGAAGAAGCCCCCCCCCCCCCCCGCCCGGCCCACGCCGCAGGAGCCGGCACATTGGGGAGGAAGGACGCCGGTCCGGCGGCCACAAGGGCGGGGCAACCTGGCCTCCGCCGCCGGCGGGCCAGAGAGGCGGGTCGGGCGAGTGGCGGAGGATCTCCGCAGCTCGCAGAAACTCATCAATGAGGCTCCGGGGTCGTGTCCCCGTTGGCGAGCCGTTGCAAATTGGCGCACGAGACCTTCCCAGACACCGTCAGACCGTTGACCCCGCGCCCGGGCCCGGGCGCCCGGCCGGCTGGCAAGCAGGCGATCACCAACACCGGACCCGGGCGGGCGGCGCTCGGCCTGGCTAATGGGGCGGCGCCCGAGCCAGGCCGTTTGCCGCTCCGGGCCAAATCATCGAGACCCGGTGCGAGGCAAAGGGGAAGAAAAAAAGCATAAATATGTGTATTAAAATTCCACATTAGCTCCAATGGCGCGTTGTCGCACTTCCCTGGCAGTTGCAGACTTCCCTCGCCCCCTCCCCCCCCCCCCCGCTTTGTGGCAACGTTGAGGGCGACCAGGGAAAACCGGCCAGCCCCCAACCATTCAAGGCCGCATGCGCGCCGCGCGCACTCCTTCCCAGCTTGGGAGCCGCGCCCCGACATGCGCGCCGGGCGCCAATATCCTGGGACCCGGGCCGCCGGATGGGGCGCTCCGACGCTGGTCGTTATTTTCCCCCGTCACCAAGGCCGGCGCCGCCGGTTGCTTTCGGGCGGCCTTCCCTGCCGGCCGGTCGGCCCTTCCCCGGCCCCCTGCCGTTGAGAGAGACGGCCCGGGATCCTGCGGTCCCGGGAAAGCGCAAGTAGACGCGGGAGCCGGGGGGGGGGCGGGGGGCCGACGAGCTCCCAGGCCGGCCGCCAAGGGCCGGGCCAAGAAGCTGTGGAGCCGAGAGACCCCGCCACGCTTGAGTTGGGGCCGCGCGAATACGCCGGCGGCTCCGCACCCCCGCGGGAGCCGCGCGGATCGCCCGCCCAAGATTGGGCACCACCAGGGCCGGTCCCGGCCAACTCGCCCAGCCCCCCACGGTCCTGGTGGTGGTCGGCCGAGGCGCGGTCCCGCTCGCCGGCACTCGCCCGTGGCCCGCCTTCGCCGGCTAGATGACTGTGGCTGATTGGTTGGGCGCTTTTTTTTTTTCGGTGCGAGCGCGCGCGACATGACCAAGGCGCGAGAGGCGCCGGCTGCGGTGCTCCCCCCCCCCCCCCCCCCCCCCCCCCCCCCCCCCCCCCCCCCCCCCCGCCCGCTCACCAACCAACGAGACACCACCACCAACCCCCCCCCCCCCCCCCCCCCCCCCCCGCCTCTCGCACTCGGTCCGCGGAAATGGCTGACCAAGCACGGGAAAGGCCCCCCCCTCCCACCCCCCTCGGCTGTGGGCTGCTTGGCGTGGCGGTTGCCGGGGACGAGGGATTTCAATGGGTTCATGACCGGCAGGAGATACGGCGATCGGCCTCATCCCTCCCCGTCCCTTTACACCTGCGCGCCTTGGAGTGCTGCCACGGCGCACTCTCTCCTCGCCCTCCTCCCCCCCATCCTCCCCCCCCCCTACTCCCTCTTCCTCTTCTTGCCCCCTCTCCCCTCCCCCATAACACATGCTTGCGACTTAGGGGCTCCCTCCGACCACTGTCCTTCCTCTTTCCCTGCCTCTGATACTGGCGATCCCTGGTACGCCCAGCCTGCCATCCTCCCTTCCTTTCTCTCTCTCTCTCTCTCTTTCTCTCTCGATCTAGCTACCGCCGTCCCGTGTCCTTGCCGCCCCCATCACTGACACACGTACGCACGCCCCCATCCAGAGGCCTGCCCCAAGCCAACGAGGCCGCTCACCAGACAGCTACTCGGTGGCGCGTGCCCGTGAACGCGCGCCCGCCACCGTATACCCCCGTGGCCTACCCCTCGCCTCGTGCGCCTGCCCGCCCGCCCGCCCGCCTGCCAGAGCCCTCGGCCTGCCCCGTGGCTCTTGCCTTCCTGTTGCTGCACACACACACCCCCCCACCCATACACACGCAGGCCAGTGTCTACACACATACGCCCAAACACACGCACGCACGCCCCTCAAACGCCCATCAGGCGCAATGGCTCCACCACACCCGAACACCGCCTGGTCGACAGGCACCTGGCCGGCCGCCGCTCAGGCCGAGGGGGCCGGCCTCCCGCCAGGCTCATCCGGATCGCGCTTTTACCCGGCCGAGCCTCTCGATGCCCCTCGGTCGCCGGGGAACCCGCACCCGTTTGGGGCTCGGCCTGTGCCGGTTGTGATCATCACCCAGTCGCCGGACATCGCGATGCCCATCTCGGGCGATGATGGCGGCAGCAGCAGCAGCAGCAGCAGCAGCAGCAGCAGCAGCAGCAGCAACAACAGCGGCAGCGATGGGGCCTCTCTTTCGCCGCCGCCACACTCGCCCCTGTCGCCTCTTTCGCCGAGCAGTGGCATCGGGACCGACGGCCTTTCGGCCGCCCTCAGCCCAAGCGCCACCACCACTGCCGGAGCCGGGGCCGGCACCACTGCATCTCCATTCCCCGAGCGGCTGCCTACCACCGCCAACCAAGAGGCCTCGCAGCTGACCCCCACGCAGAACCTCCTCCGGTCCTTCCGCCATGGGACCAAGCGCCTGGGGTCGCCGCTGGCCGAACGCCGGCCACGATCCTTCTCCACGCCACCGCCGGCGTCCGGGGATCTGCTGGCCGCTGCTCCGTCGGCCGGCGCCGCTGCCAAGCGTCCCGCCCCTTATCGGATTTCCACTTCGCCGCCACCACCGCCATCGTCGCCGTCACCGCCGCCGCCGCCGTCATCATCATCATCATCATCATCATCATCATCCATGGCTGGCAACATCAGCAACATCAGTGCCATTGGTGATCCCGGGGGTGGCGGCCATGGCACTGCTGGCATCAGTGTCCCGGCTGCGGCTTCACCGGCCCCGGGGCCTGTCCCCCTGTTGTCCTCGCCGTCCCTGCTGGCCGGGCTGCGTCCCTTGCCTCATCCAGTGCCCAGCACGAGCCCCAATTTCCCCGGGGCTCCGGCTCTCCCGGTGCCCGGGCGCCCGGGGTTCCACCCGGGCTTCGTGTCCTCCCTGTCGCAGGGGCTCTCGCAGGCCCAGCAGCCAGACCTGGGGCCCCTCCATGCGTCGGCCCTCCGTCGGCGTCCGTCCCCGGTGACCGGCGGCGATCCCGGCATCCCCTCGACGGCGGTTCTCTCCCCGGCGCGGCATATGCCCTCGTCATTGCAGCCCCCGGCCGGGGGGGCTTCCACCGTGGGAGGCCGGCCCAGCCCCGCCAGCCCCTCCATCCCGATCCCGGCCGGCACGACGTTCGCCTCGCCGCGGCCCTATCAGGAGGGCTTCGAGCGTGCGCCGATTGACACCGAGTCCCCGGTGCTAGTGCACCGGTCACAATCCTATGACTCGGGCTTCCTGTCCTCCGGATCCTTCTGGCCATCGGCCGGGGCATTTCCCACGCCCATCGGGCCCCTGCTCGGTCCGGCGCTGTCCTCCTCGCTGGATGCCTCCGGGGGCCCTGCCGGGATGGGCCACCGTGCGGCCCTGCATGGGAATGCTGCCGCGGCTTTTGCCACGGCCGGTGGGGTTTCCGCCGCCCCGGCCGGGGCCGATGCGCCGTCCCCCTGCCGGACGGCCGGGCCTCTCTTTGTCCGGCAGCCCCATGCCAGCCTTGGCCAGGGCTCGATCTCGGGTTCTGGGCCCGGGGCTGCTGGCTCTGCTGCCGGTGCCCCGATCCCCAATCACGGTCCCTGTGTTTCGGTCATGCTCTACCGGCCGACCGGGCAGGGGGAAGATCAGTCGATCGCCGGGCGCTGTGTCTGCCCGAGCTTCGGGTTGCCCTTTTGCAGCCCGGCGGCCGCGGGCGGCCCATCGCCCGGGGCAGCCGATCCCGGTCCCCCCGGAGGTCCTGGCTTTTTGCCCGGCCGTTCGTCCATGTCCCTGTTGGAGGCTTCCTTCCGGGCGAGTTCGCTCACCTGCCCGCCGGCCATCGGCGGCGCTGGCGCCGGCGTCGGCGGTGAGCTTCCCTTCTCCGAGGCACAGCATCTGATGGGAGCCTACAATCTGGCCATACCGTCGGTGGTGGACCTGGCCAAGCCTGTGACCGATGGCGACCCCACCCCGGCCGGCCTGCCTGCCCTTTCTTCACCGCGGTGTTTGCGTCTAAATTGCTCGTCCCCTTTCATCCTAGCCCTGCCGGCCCGGCCGTGGCAGCATCCGCCCAGCACCCCGGCCACCGGGCACACGGAGCGTCGCTTCCTCCGGCGACAGCTGATCCGCCGGCGGCGGAGCCGCGAAGGCATGGCCCCTCGGTCGGCCACCAGCTCCATGGCCGGGGCTCCGACTGAGGCGGCCCCGGTCGACCTGGACCCAGCCCCGGCTGCGGCCCCGGCCCCGGCCCCGGCTTCGCGCCTGGCCATGCCGACGGATGTGTCTCATGCGATGCCCGGCGCCGGGCCCTTGCCCGGTGATTCGCCCTTCAACTCGACCGGGGGCCATTCCTTTTCCTCGTCCCCCTTCTTCTCGTGCCTATCCTCGGCTCCATCGTCTAGCTGCCCGTCACCGCCACCGCCGCCACCTCCCCCCCCACCTCCGCCGCCGCCGCCGCCGCCGCCGCCGCCGCCGCCGCCGCCCCTACCGCTCTCTCGCCTGAGCACTGGGCACAGCCTGGCCCTGTCATATGAGCACCTTCCCTCAAGCTCCCCGAGCATGGACCTGTCGTCCCCGTGCCACACACCGCCCGAGGGAGGTACACCGGTGCCGGCGCCGGCGCCGGCACCAGTGCGCGCGCCCGCTCCGGTCTCGCGCGGCGGGCTCGGCTCCAAGATCAGTGCCTTCCGCAATCTCCTCCCGGCGGCAGCCGGCGTGGTGCGCTTCATTGGGGCCGATCGCCTGCAAGCTCCGGCGCCCCCGTCGGCCTCCACTTCCCAGGCCTCGGCTCGGGCATCGGGGTCCGCCCAGCCGAGCGCCGCCCGGCAGCTCTTTGCCTCGCTCGGCCGGCGGCGGTCCAGTCTATCACACCAAATGGCCGGCATCCGCGGTCTGGCGCCACTTGTGCGTGGTGGTCTTTGGCGCGGTGGCAGCGACGCCACCGCCACCGCCTCCAACGACAGCAGCGGCAGCCACAATGACAATGGCAGTGATGGTGCCGGCGGTGCAGCCACCATCGCCAGCGGCATTGCCGATGCCGACAGTGGCCGGGCTGGACCCTTGGTGGGAGGCCTTCGCCCGGGCTCCCCTCCAGTATCAGCCACTGTGGCTCCGGGCCTCCTCCCCCGGCCGTTGTCCTCCTCGATGCCGGACCCGACGTCCATGACGGCCCGAGCGGCCGCTGCTGCTGCTGCTGCTGCGGCGGCGGCGGCGGCCGCGACCGCCGAGGCGACCATGGTCACCCCGTCTGCTCATGCCACCCCCGGTCAACCGCTGCACTCGGTGCCGCATCGGAATGCGGCGCCCGGATCGGACCCAGGCTTCGGTCTTGGCGCCGGGGCCTTCCCGGCGCAGAGTCGTCTCCACCTTCACCACCGTCACTCGGCCGCAACCGGTGCCGGTGTGGTCGCATCGCCTGGCGTCAGCAACGCCGGCAGCGGCAGCGGCAGCGGCAATGGCTCCGCGCACAATCCCCCGATCAAGAAGCCGCAATTGACCCGGCCTGGGACGGCTCTCTTCTCCTGGCACCCGATCCGCCTGACCATGGCGCCTGGCCGTGCGTCCGCCTCCTCCCTTCTCTCTCTCTCTCTCTCTCTCTCTCTCTCTCTCTCTCCCCCCCCGCCTACCCCCTTGTCCATGGTACTGACAACTCCCTGGCACCGATTGTGGCATGCCGTAGCCCTGGCCCCGGCTCCCCTGCCCAATGAGGGCTCCGCCTACCCGCTCATTGAGACGCACTTCCTGTCGCAATCGAACTACTTCTCCTCGATCTTCGACCAGATGCTCCAGCCGAGTGTCAAGCCGGCCGGCCCGCCGGCCATTTGCGTCTGCCGGCCGGCGCCCCCGGTCACGCTGGCGGCCTCCACCGCGCCCCCGGCCCAGATGTCCCCCCTGGTGGCCTCGCACCGGGATTGCACCGGATGCGATGACACCGGTCAGGTATGTGTCTACCGGAATCGGTCTCCCCTGCGCCGGCAATCGGCGCCGGAGTTCCCCGTGCGCGATCGGTCCTCCTCGCCCGGGCTCGGCCCGAGCGAGGGTATGCCCGGTCCACGGCTCGGCGCCTTGAGTGAGGCCCTGTATGAGGGCCCGGTCAGCCGGGCGCCCCTGGCCGGGACGCTTCCCCAGGCTCGGCCCCTCGAGCCCGGTGGCACATCGTCCGGCGATGCCTCGCCTCGGCCTCACCCGGGATGCTTGTGCGGATCGGGGCTCCGGTGGGACCCGGTCACCGGGGCCCCGGTCGCACAGTCGTCCTGGAGCTTTGTGGAAATTGGCCGCGGCGACTTCGCCGCGGTGTACGTGGCTACCTTCTCCAACTCGCATTTGGCCCCTGGCCGACCCTTTGCCCGGCGGCGCCCGGCCGGCCCGGGTGGCATTGCCCTGTCGGGCTCCTACCTCGAAGAGCCGAGCATGTTGCAGCGCCCGACGGGCAGCTTGCTGCATGTCGGCGACCGGCAGCACCTGACCTTTGGTGGCCGAGGCTTGGACCTTCTGGCCGTGCCGGTTCCGTTGCCGGAGGAAAGCGAGCACGACAGCGATGACGCGGAGGACCATTTGTCGGGGATGCCCGGCCTTTCCGCGGGCGAGCCAGCCGCACCCCTGATCTTTGGCTCGGCCTCGGCCATGGACTTCGGCATGCTGCTGCATCAGGAGGAGGCCGATGCGGCCATGCGTGGATCCGACAGTGGGTTCGGGTCCGGCGATGCGGCGGCCCCCTCGCCCTCGGACGATGACCTGGAGGACGCGCTGTCGGGGCCGGAGTTTCCTCCGGTCGACAGCGGGGACCTCATGTCCACCGATCCCTCCTCGTCCTCCTCGTCCTCCTCCTCCAGCTCCTCGGATGGGGGCGGGTCTCCGGTTTCCTCCGGGTCCGGGGAGGAGGACGTCATGCTGGCCGGGAGCTTGCGCCTGCCAACCGGGCAGCTGGTTCTGCACAATGGTGGCATCCCCCCGGCCCAGGCCCGGCACTTGGTAGCTGTCAAGTGCTTCTTGGTCCCATACTCCGGGAATACCCAGCGCCGCCGTGCGCTGGACGAGATCTCGGTCCTCTTCAAGCTTCGCGGGGCGCCCTTTTGCCTGCAAATCGAGCGTGCCTGGGAGCAGGACCGGATATTCTACATCGCCACAGAGCTGTGTGTTGGCAGGTGCGTCCTATTTCTCCCTTCCAGTTCCACTCCCACCCAGTGCGCCCGGTGGCCGTTCGCTGACCGCGGCCACGCCGCCGCTTCTCTACCCCCGCTCGGTGCTGCTCTGCTGCCAGCCTGTCGGACATTATGAATGGTCTGAAGAAGCAAAACCGCGTGCTTGACGAGGCGGACGCCTGGTGCTATTTGCACGGGACCCTGCGGGCGTTGGAGGCCCTGCACTCGCTGGGCTTCGCCCACTTGGATGTCAAGCCGGAGAACTTGCTGCTCAGCTCGGCCGATCCGCGGGCCGTGCGCCTGGCGGACTTCGGCCTGGCGGTCCCGCGCGACACTCCCCGGACCAATGTGGTCGAGGGGTCGAGGCTGTACCTGGCGCCGGAGATCATCTCGCTGACGACCTTGCGGGCGCACCTGCGCGGCCAGCACGCGGCAGCCGGCGGCTCGGCCACGGTGCCGATGTCCTCGGTCCTGCGCGAGGACCCGACCATCCGACTGGACTTGGCCCGGGCGGATCTCTTCGCCTGCGGTGCCCTGTTCATGTATCTGTCGGTGCTGGAGCCAAGCCCGACCACGACGCAGGATTTGGGCCGGCTGCGGTCGGACGACTTCACGGTGTGTCTCTTCATCGACCGCTCGGAGACCTTCATCCGGACGGTGTGCCGATTGATGCGCGCCGATCCGGACCTTCGGCCGGCCAGCGCGGGCGCTGCCGCCGATGGCATTGTGGCCCTGGTGAATCGGGCCATCCAGCAGCTGGACTGCGCGATGGTCGCCGCACCGGGGCTGCCCCCGGGCCCGCAGCCGGATGCCTTCCTGCTTCGGGCGCTGTTGGTCAAGCTCGACCAGTTGGGCTTTTCCCTGGATCAAGTGGCCGAGGCGGCCCGTGGCCGAGGCGGCGACGGCGGCGGCCCGGCCGGGGCCCGAACCCTGCCGGAGGAGCCTCCTGGCGGCTGGCCCATGGGGGCGGCTTCCGGGGTGGTGGCCTCGCTCTTGGCCCTGGACAGTCGCTGTGGTCCGGTCTTCCAGGACACGTGGGAGCTGGATGCCGTGCGATTGGTCCCGGTGGGACAGGACAGCACCCAACTGCGTGCCCTGGCGGCGGAGCCCTTCTCGAGTGCCTCGGCAGCGGTCTTTGCCAATGTGCGCGACGAGCTGTCCGCCAATGGGGCGGCCGGTCTGGGGAAGGGGCCGCTGGCTGGCAGCCCCGCCGGCGGGGCGCCGGATGCGGCGGGCGGCCCCCCCGGCGGCAGGTCCGGCGGTGGCGATCCCCCGGCCGGTGGCGGTTTCCTGGCGACCGGCGGTGGAGCTGGCAGCTCCGGCGTCGCCGGGGGAGCCGCCTTTGCCGGGGTGGGTGTCGGGGGTCGGCCAGCTGGCTCGACCGTGGTGCCGCCCTTTCGCCGGAGCATCAGCGCGTCGGCCGCCCTCGGGCCCCGGTCGGCCGGCGAGGCGCCCACCGCCTCGTCCGCCATGTCCAGCTGTTCGTCCGATTCGCTGCCACTGCTGTATCAGCGGCTGTCATCCATGTATTCGGAGATTTCATCGTCCTCCTTTTCGGCGTCGGATTGGGACCAGCAGCTGGTGGCCGACATCGGGGAGGTGGGTTCCGACGACCGGACCGACCGGCCGGCCATCCGAAACATCGCCCCGCTGTTGCTCCCTTCGCCGCATGTATCCCCCCAGCCCTCGCCCTCGGCCACGGGGCCGGTGTCACCGCCGCCGGTTTCGCCGCCGGAGCCCGGCACCGGGCGGTTTTTCTTTTTGCCCGGTGAGCCGGTGGCCGCGCCGACGGCCTCCCCGCCGCCGGGGCCGCGCCATGCCCTTCTGTTGCCGGGATCCAGCCCGGCTTTGGGTTTCTCCCCGGGGAATGTCCCGGTGCCCGGGTACTCCTTTGGCCCGGATGCACCGCCCGCCGGTGGTGGAAGCTCTGACACTGGTCCGAGCCGTAGCAATGGCAGCGGTAGCGGCAGCGGCAGCGGCGGCAGTAGCAGCAGCAACAGCAGCAGCAGCAGTAGCAGTAGCAACAACAACAACAACAACAACAGCAACAGCAACAGCAACAGCAACAGCAACAGCAACAGCAACAGCAACAGCAACAGCAGCAGCAACAGCAGCAGCAGCAGCAGCAGCGCCAGTTCCGGCCCCCGGCGACCCTTCTTGCGCGCCGACTCGGCTCCCTTCTCCATGGAGTATTCCGGGACGCTGGGACCCCCTTCGGCGCACCAGAAGTCCCACAGCGATGAGCACCCCAGCATGCGCGGCACTGGCGCCGGCACTGGGACCCCCGGCCGGCGGCTGCGGTCGTCCTCGTCAACGGCGCTCTTTGGCTCGCCCGGACCATTGCGCTCGGGCAAAGCCACCTCACCGGTGATGCCACTCATGTCGCCGATCCGCCGAAGTGGCGGGGCCAATGTGGCGGCGGCGGCGGCGGCGGCCGTCACCCCCGGGAGTGCGGCGGCCGTTACACCGCACACCCGGTCCAGTTCGCTGGATGATGCCCCTGCCTCCGGCGGGGGCAATGGCGCTGGCGGAGGCGGGGGGATCCTCGCCGGGAGCTGGCTCCAGCGCGATCTCTTCCCCTTGCATTTGCATCGGCCGCATCAGCATTCGCCTGGGGCGCCTGCTCCGGCGCTCTTGCCCGGGCCAGGCCCATTCCACCTGCCCCTGCCGATGCCGGTCCCGGTGGGCCAGGCGCCGCATCCACCGGCCACGGGGGGCTCCCCCTCGGCCGGCCTCTCGCCACACCACCATGACCGGGAGATGGTCGACCATGTGATGCTCGTGCCGCCTCAGTTGGCGCCGACGCCGGCGTCGCGCGCTGACGGCTCGGATCTGGCCTCCCCCGGCGGGTCCTCCTCATCCTCGGCCTCTTCCTCCTCCTCGTCTCTCTCCTCGCCGGCTGGCGACCCCGGCCCGGCGTCCCTTGCGACCGACTCCTCCGCATGGTCGGGCAAAACTTACTTTGCCACCCTCTAGCCAGCGCCCGTGGTGCCGGGGGGTGGGGTGGGTGGATGCTGACCCCATGTCCTTGTGTATATGATATCTCCCCGCCTTCCTTTCTCTCTCTCTCTCTCTCTCTCTCATCTCTTTGAAGCGCCACCTGGTGGCAGCATCACATTTCTGCCTCCCCTCTCTTTCTTGGGCGTGCCCTCATTCGGGCACTCCCCACATCTCCTTGCCGATCGGCGGGCCGCACATTGTCTGGTGCCGCGCGTCACGAGAAATAGATCTTCCCCTCTCTTGTTGCTGCCCGCGCTCCTGGCCCCTGCAAACATGTTCGCGCTCCATGAGGGGCCTTCTGCCGACGGACAACCTCGGGCGGCATTCCCGCGGCGTCACACGCGGAAGGCGAATAACGTGATGCACAGCATGATCAAGACAATCTAATGTCCTGCCTGTTTCTGCCCCTCTCGTAGGTGGCGGGAGGCCGGCCGGCTGGCCGAGGGCCGAGAGTCGGCACCACCGGTGTGTAGGGGGCTGCGCGGCATGCGCCCTGGCCCCTCTCTCTTCCAGTCTACTTGCTTGGTCTTGGGAGGTGGCACGTTCCCCCCTCCCCCCCCCCAGGAGACACCGGCATGCATTTCGAGGCCCCCGCGTCCGGATGGGCGGACATCTTGAAACGACAGCCCGACGAGGGATGCGCCCGACTCGTTGCGGGGCGGCCGGCATCTATCTTCCTCTCTTCCTTTCTGTCCCTCCCTCCCTCTCTCTCTCTCTCTCTTCCCCTCTGTCCCTCCCTCCCTCCCTCTCTCTCCCCCCTACTTCGGACTTTCTTTCCTCAGCATCTCCTAGCGCATCTGCCCAGCCCCCCGCGTCATGACCTCTCGTGCTGAACTGGACGCCTTTATCGAGCTTTCGCGGCATATTGTCCGTGCGTCGCTCCGGTCGCAGTCGATCGTGTCGTCTGGCGACGAGCAGCCCGCCGTTTCGGAGGAGGGCCTGTCGAGGCGCATTTCCAGTGAGGTCCTCGAGCAGCTCAAGGGTTCGTTGTGTGATCTTCCTCTTGGACGCTGGTTCTTCCCCTCCCCCGGCTGTTTCTGTCCTGTTGCATGGTCTGTTAACTGTTCGTGTGGCTGTCTTCCCCGCCCTCCCCCCCTACCTCCCCCTCGCACCGCTTCTACGCTGGTCTTTGTCCGGGGCCCCAGAGCACTCCTCGACCAAGTACAAGTTCATTGTCAACACCTTCAGTGTGAAGCGGTCGAAAAACAGCACCAACGGCATCAAGTGCGTGTCCGGTGGCCAAATGCACGGCCCGACGCCCCTGTGCTCTGGGCTTCCCTGGTACCTCTCATTTGCCCGTGTGTCTGACTTGCTTGTCTGTGACCTGTGTCCATCTCCCTCCACAGCGCACAGGCGCTCTGCTACTGGGATGCCAGCCAGGATGCCCATGTTGAGGAGCTGTTTGAAAATGTGCGCGCTCTGGCCACCTCCCTCTTCTTCTTCTTCTTCTTTTTCTTTTTCTTCTTCTTCTTCTTCTTCTCCTCTCGCCGTCACTTTGTTTGTCTCCATCCTGCTTGAACTCCCCTCTTGAGCTAGCTGGCGCATTGATACTGACCAGGGGCATCCGCCGCTGCCGCCGCCGCCGCCGCCGCCGCTGTTCGCATAAAAGGAGAACTTCATCATTCATTGCTCGGTGTTCATTCTGACCCATTAGGCGCCCGGGGCCCGCTTGCCAGGGTCTTCCTTTTCTCGCCCAGGGGACCCTGCCATTTGGCCCCTTTGCACTTGCATATCCATTTGCATTTCCCACCTCCTCACAAGCATTGATACACGCAAAATACACGGCAAACAAGCACACACACACACACACACACACACACACACACACACACACACGCGCGCGCGCGCGTGCGCGCACGTTGGCGTGGGGGCTCTTGCTGCAGACCGCGGCACACCTTCTTGACCGGTGGATCTATCTGGTGGCGGGCGGCGCGCTGGGCACTTGGCTCAATCCTTGGTGGCGGGCGGTGTGGGGATGGATGGCTTCCCCTGCACATGCCCCCGGCATCCCCCAAGTGCAGAGACATTCAAGTAGGCTGGGACCGGACCAATGGTCCAAGATGGCCGCGTAGCTCAATTGGATAGAGCACCTGACTACGGATCAGGAGGTTGTGTGTTCGAGCCGCATCGTGGTCAATATTTCTTTTTTTGCGGCGGACCCCGCTTGACCGGCCCAGCCCCCTGGTAGTTGCCTGGTCGTGCTGCGTGCCTGTGCGCATGCCACTCCTCGCGGGGGGAGAGGGGGCCGCGAGGAGTACAACGGCGAGGAGCCTGCGCCAGCCGTGAGAAGTGCAGGAACGGGGGGGGGGGCGATAAACGGAGCGCTTGCTCGGTGCGGGTGCGCACTTTCTCGCCATCCTCATGTGCACCTCGGTGCCGGGGTGCCCCCGGGGGCGCCCGTGAAATGGAAGAGCCTGGTGCACTCCTGGCCGGACGCGGTTTTTGTGCGCACGGTGGCATGTTGTCGAGGGAAGGGCCGGGGGGGGGGGGGAGGAAGCGGTCGGCAGTAGAAAAGACGGGGGGAGCGAGTGCGCTCGAGAAAAGCCCCCGTTTTCCCGTCGGGCCAATGAAAGAATGGGCTGCGAGGGCCACTGTTGGCGAGACCGTTGGCAACAGTGTCGCCCCACAGGGGGCGTGTGTAGAGCGCGTGGGAGTTGCGGCGCGCGCTACCCACGGCGGCCTTTGGGGGAGGACCAGCCGGGGCCGGCCGAAGGGAAAAGAGAGGCTGGCGGAAGAACAAACACGCAGCGACGCGTCCGGTGCCTTCGAGGCAACCGTCTGTTCTTCCCCGGAGGGGGGGGGGAGGGCGGCACACCTGCCTGTGCGCATCCGGGGCGCGGTCTGATCGATGTCTGTTCTGGGAAATGAGATCCAGTTGCGCTCGAGATGCCGGGCGGGCGGGCGGACGCGGCCGGCCCGCAGTCCGCGGGCGGGGCGCCGCAGGACCCTGAAAGTGCGTGAACCCCCCTCTTCCCCGGGCGCCCTTCGAACATGGTCCGTCGTCCCAGGGGTGGGAGCGGGGTGCAACGCAGAGGGCCGTGCGGGGTGCCGTGCGAACATGCTTCCTGGGTCTGTGTGTGGCTGTTTGGCTGTGTGTCGGTCTGGTCTCGGGTGGGGGCGGAACGCGGGACGCCGGTGAGACGCTGAGGCACATGGCCCAGGAGGCGCTGCATGCGTGCGGGGGCGGGGGTGCATAAGCACCGGCAAGAGGCCACTTAGCGGGTGTTGGTTGTTGGGGGCCGACCCGCCGGCCGCCCGGAGGGCATCTGGCCATGGCGCCGGGCGCCGGGGGAGGCGTCCTGGGCGCGCTTGATTAATGTGTATCCGCGCGGCGAGGTGCGCCGCGCGGGATGCCCGCCGTCGGCCGGGCCCTGTCCTAAAGCGTCCTCGCGGCGGTGGCGGCAGTGGTCGCGGTGTGCACACAATGTCCCTCCCCCCCCCCCCCCCTTTCGCCCCCGGACCCACGCGCCCGGCACACGAGGGCACCCCCACTCTCGGCCGAGGGCTTCCGCTGTATGCGGCCTGGCCGGGCCCCGCTCCCGGCTCGCCGCCGGGTCCGGTTCGTGCGAGTGGCCTCTGGAAAGGGCCCCGCCATCGGTCGAGCCGTAGCCCATTTTGTCCGCCGGGCGCGCCCCTCCCGCGGTGGCGGTGGGGGAGCTTCGTGTTTCGCCCGGCCAAGTTCCGGGGAGGCACCCATGCGGGCCTTCCGCGCGGGCGTGCGCCCCCCCCCCCCACCCCGTGAGTGTCCACCGGCGCTGGGCCGGGCCAGGCTGGGGGCTGCTTGTTCCCCCCCCCCCAGGCGAGCAGTGTGCGACTCTGGGGGATACTGTTCGTGTCCCCCCTCCCCCCTCCCCCACACGCGCCGGCCGAGAGCGGTGCCCCGATATGCCGCTGGCCGTTTTTTGCCCCGCCCCCCGCCCTCGGCCTTACGAGAGGTTGATTGCGCGCCGGCCCGGAGGCCTTACAGGTCCGGGGCCCGCTCGACAGCCGGTGCGTTCGTCATCCGCGCCATGAAAGGTGCCCCGCTCTGACGACGCAAGGTCCCCATTCTCGCCGCTGTGGCGCCGGTTGCATAGTTGGGGCGCCCAATGCGAATGTCGGTTTGTGGGAGCCCCTGCTCCGGTTCCCCACGTCTCCCGCCCCCCTTCCCGGGGGCGCGCGGGCCCGGCCGAGCATGCGGTCGTCGCGGCCCCGAGCGTTTCAACACCCGTTGCGCGCTTTTCGACCTTTCGCGGTCCGCCGCCCCCCCCCCCCCTCCCCCTGCCCGCACCCCCCGCGGCGTCGGCGCGTATGTCAAGTTCGGCTGGGGGATGCCCACCCGGCCCCGCGCGGGCATGTGTTCCGCCCCCCCCCCTTCCTCCAGGCCGCTGCCGCCACCGGCTGCGGGGAACACAAGCGGGAAGTACACGGCCCCCAGCACCGCGGCGTCGCCCGGGCACACGTAGCCCGCCCTTGCGGCCCTGCTAACCTGGGCGTCCGGGTGGAGAGGCCCTCGGGCGTCCTGCGCTATACCAGGACGCACACCGTCCACTGGGCCCGCCGAGAATCGGAGGTTGTGCCCCCCCCCCCCTGCGCGCCCCCTTGCCCGTCTGCGGCGCGGTCCGGCTCGGGAGCGCGCGCGCGCGTGCGCGCGGGATCCCCGGCCGTGTCTACAAAACTGCCCGCACCTTGTTGCCGGGTGTCCGTGGGACCTGCCGTGCACCTGCCCTCCTCCCCCCCCCCTTCGTCCTGTCTCGG